CATATTATTCCAATTTTAGATTGTCGATCTTTTTTGAAAAAGAAAGTTTTATATGAATATTTCGATAATTTATTATATGTTCATGTTCAAAAAATTAGATTATCATATAGTTAAGATATTCAGCTTATATAAAATCATAAAAAAAATATTTTTGACAAAAGGCTCAAAGGGCATTTTGCTAGTCCATGACTCATATCTTGTTTGTAATTCATGAGTGTGGTTTAAATTATTGAAGTTTATATAAGATTTCTAGAAAATTTCCTTTTGTCATTATTATATAAAAATCAAATAGAACATTAAAAAAGCTTGTAAATTTTTGGAATTTAAATCCTATAGGTGTATTGTCCAACGTGATATCTTCTATGATTCATATAATTCTTGCAATTCAAATAACTGGATAAGGAATCAATACCAATATATCAAATAGGGGATTTGATTGCGTATTGTTGTTTGACTGAGAATCCTCATCATTTTTTGAGAATGACTGAAGAAGAATTACAAATCATTCAATCTCGAATCAAGGATAGTAGCATGAAAAGAACTCTTATTTTTGGCATTGAGAAAGTGATCGGAAGATAGTTAATTATTATTTCTATAAAAATATTTTCAAGTTTTAGTTGCAACTAGCACCTTGGCTTGGGATGTGAATTTACTTGCTCATTTGGTTGTAATCAAAGGAACTAAATTCTATGATGCTAAGTCTAAAGGATATATAGATTTTCCTATTACCAAATGATAGGTAGAGCTGGTAAGTAACGTTACATGGAATTATTATCTATTCCATCACTTCATATTTCGATTAATTTTATGTTAATGAGCTTCAGTTTATATGATTTTTTCTTTTTGAATTAATCAGGTCGTACACATTTCGATGATAGTGATGTTGCTTGTATATTTGTACAGAATTCAAAAAAAGAAATGTTATAAAAAAGTTTGTATGAACCTTTCCCGGTAGAGTCCAACTTACATATTCAGCTTGAAAATCATTTCAATGCTGAAATAGTCGCTAGTACTAAAAAGCCTAGGAAAGAGGCCATGATATATCTTTCTTACACTTATTAATATCGTAGATTACAACAAAATCCAGCTTATTATGAATTAAAAGATGCCTATCTTAAAACTATTATGATTATCTTTCGAAAGTTGTTTGAAAAGTCTCTCTGGTTGTATTGAAATGGATGATGATTTTAATTTTGAACTGACTTCCTTTGGCAGCTCATATCATATTATTATCTTTCACATAAAACAGTCAGACTCATCTGAGATCATATTAAAAATGATTCAACTATCTGAAATATTTAGGAATATTATGTAATTCAGACGAATATTCTGAATTTCTGATTCGACATAATGAAGATCTCCAAATCAAGATTTAGAAAAGGAACTTCCTTAGTCTGTTTAATCTCACCTTCCATATGATAGTCCACACGCGAAAGCAAATTTTGCTTTTGCAGGCTCATCTTATAAGGACCAAATTGCCAATCGTTGATTATATTACAAACACACTGTCAGTTTTAGATCAAGCAATTCGTATTTTACAGGTAAGATTGAATATCAGAATTAACTTTATACACAATACATTTCTAATTCTTTTTTTTCCCTGTTATTAGTTAATTATTGATATAACTGTCGAAAATAATATGTTAAAAACATGTCTTCATATGATGTTATTATTACAATGCATTAAACAGTCATGTTGGCCCGAGAGTTCATAATTGCTAAATCTTCCTGGAATTGATCATATGATTAGTTCAATTCTTTACAAGGTACTATTTATTGAATGCAACGTTCTTATTTATTCTTCTATATTGATGTGATAATTTTTAAATACTTTATATGTTTTAGGGACATAATGTCAAATTCTTAGGCGAATTATTGAATCTTTCAGAAGAGGAGTTGTCTAAGATTTTCAAAATGTTAGCAGACTTTCCGAACCTTATATAGAAAAGGTATGTTTTATTTGTTTGATATAGAAATAACGTTGCGTCATTACATGAGATCAAATCAAATAAATTTAATTAAATTGTTACTTTATAGATTTGTGAAGCCGTCAACAACATTCCTATAATAGATGTTGGTTGTCATATTAATCATGCTAGTGGCTCGATGGCTCCAAATGAGAAGCGCACATTATTGGCTTTATTGAAAAGGGTAAAGAATATATCAGGATACGATAGTAAAGTTTATGCGCTTAGATTTCCAAAACCATAATATGAATCATGGTGGTTGGTATTTGGAGATAAATCAGTTGATAGCATGGACCTTTTGGAGAATTTTCTAATGTACAAACCTTCAAATTGAAGCTGATCACATCAGAGAGCGGAGGAAATTATCAATACACGATATTCCTTATTAGTGATGGTTATCTAGGATTAGATCAATAATTTGACGTTGAATTCTATATAGAGATGAATTGATAAATCAAAGGGAAATTTTTTACTTTTACTTTTTTTTTATTTTTATTTTTTTTTTTATAAAATATATATATAAAAACTAGAAGTTGCGATATGCGAGGGACTCTGTTTCCCATTAAGCGTCGGATTAAATATTTTATGTTAATTAAATTTATATTATAATCAATAATTTTTGCATATACATAAATAGTTTATTGTATTTGTAAAGTAATTTAATAAATTTCAAATATAAGAGTTTTTTAATAATTTTATTAGATTAATATTTTTATCAAAAAAAAAAATTATTATTTAAATATATACTATATTCACAAAGGTAAAGAAGTATTTGATATTTGTTCTTATCATTATTTGTAATAAATGCTGAAAAATGTAATGAAGCGAAATTGCACTTTTGATCAATCAGAGCATCAGCTTAATGCAACATAAACTTGACCAGCAGAAAAAATTTCTTGAGTGTTTAAAAGTGTTTAAAAAAAACTCTCTCTGTTTTATCCCAAAAAATGACCCAAAATAATAGAGAGAAGAAAAACAAACAAAGAGAACATTTGTCTTCATCTTTAACTACCAACAAAAATAAAATACAAAATACAACTCAAACTGTGGATATTCCACTAACACAAATCACTTCTGAAACATTTATCAATATTCAATTATTAATGAACTTAATAATCCTTCTGATAATTTATTACATGAATAGGGTATTTATTGTAGATTAGAATTTGATGAAAATATAGATAAAAGTAAATTGGATATTTATTAAAATAATTTAGCAACATGTTTACCAATTTTTTATCAAATATCATTGAATTATATTGGTTACCTATATCAAGCTGTTCTATTGAGCATAGTTTTTCTTTATATAATACTTTATTAGATAATAATCATCAAAACTTATCAATAAAATCACTTAAACAACTTAATATGATGTATTTTAATCGAAATATTTAAATAATTTGTAATTTTTTTTGTTATAGGTTGATGCAAAAACATTTGTATATCAAACAAAGGCCAATAAAAAATTTTTTAACATAAATTTTTTTTTTATTTAAATAATATCAATATATATTGAGAATGATATGATATAAATATTAAATTATATCACGTGTTTCTCATCAGAATCACTATAGCTATCAAATTCTTCTTCAGTTAAATATGCTTCTTCATCGGACTCAAAATAAGTCTTGG